GGATGGATCATGGATCCACCTGCAGTCCAGGATGGATCATGGATCCACCTGTAGCCCAGGGAAGGCCAGGATGGATCATGGATCCAGCTGCAGTCCAGGATGGATCATGGATCCAGCTGCAGCCTGGGGAGGAGCCCACACGGAACAGGGGGATGCCCAGGACAGGCTGTGACCCCGTGGGAAGCCCAGGCTGGAGCAGGGTCCTGGCAGGATCCATGGATCCCTGGGGAGAGGTTTCCTGGAGGGACTTGTGGCCCTGTGGGGACCCATGTTGGAGCAGTTCCTGAAGGACTGACCCCGTGGAAAAGTGACCCCTGTGGCAGCAGCTCCTGGAGAACTGTTGCCATGGGATGGACTCAGGCTGGAGGAGTCCCCGGGGAACTGTCTCCGTGGGAAGGACCCCAGGGAGCAGCGGAAGGGCTCCGACTGCTCTCCCTGAGCAGGGGCAGCAACAACGTGGGATGGACCGACCCGACCCCATTCCCGACCCCATTCCCGTCTCCCTGCGCCCCCGGAGGGAGGAGGGAGAGCTGGGGAAGGAGGGAGGGGGGGGGAAGGGGTTTTTAGGGTGGGTTTCACTTCTCATTCTCCTGCTCTGCTTTTGTCAGCAGTAATCCAATTCCTGTCCCCAGTCTGGGTCTGGTTCCCAGGAGGTGACGGGGGAGGGATCTCTCCCACTCCTGATCCCGGCCCAGGAACCTTGGATGTGTTTTGTCTCCCTGTCCAGCTGCAGAGGTTTGGTGGTGCCTGTTCCCAGCAGGGTCACCCCAGGGTGACACCCCAACATCATTGGCTTTTCCTCCTGGATTCCACCCAGGACAAAAGCAGCTGGGCTGCCCTGACTCCATAAACCCAGGGCTGGCTCAGGGCTCTCCCTGACCAGGGGAAAGCCAGAAGAACCTTCCAAGAGGATTATCCCCTCAAGCAGAGCTGCTCCTGAAGAGCAGAGAAAACTGCCTTAGAAGCTTGTAATTAATTAGATTAGCTCTGATTAAGGTTCTCAGCTCACTGACCCTCCCTAAGCTGCTTCATACAGTTTATAGGGTCACTGAATCACATCCCAGGCTCCGCTGGTTTATTCTCCTTTCCCAGATCTGCCAGCATTTCATCCCCTCTCATCCTACAATGCACCCCTAAACCAGGCATCTTCCATGAGCATTCCCTGTGCTCCCTACGGGAAAGGATCAGATGGGGAACAGGGAGGGAACAGGAGGCTTGGCAGCCCCTCAGGGATATCCAGGGAAATCAAGGGCTTTGGGCCCAAAAACAAGCTCTGCGGCAAAAAAAATCCATGGAAGCGTCTGCCTTTGGGAATTAGTGTCTTTGGTATCCAGGCACCTCTGAGCAGAGGGAAATTAAAGATGGAGCAGAGAGGATTGCTCTGCCTTGGAGGATAGGCAAGATTCCTGGTTTTCTGTGGAATTCTTCCCTTTCTCCCCCCGAGCTGCAGGAGAACGTGGCTGGTGGGAAGGGGGAGTTTGTTTCTGGAGCCTCAGTCTGCCCGTCAGGGTGTTGCTCTGCTCATTCCCGCACCTCCCAGGATGTATTCCGTGTTCTCCAGGCACCAGGAATTCAGCAGCATGTGTCTGGATGCTCCCAAAACACTAAATCCTGAGTGTGGTCCCTGGGCACCCAGGAAACTCATGTGAGAGATCTTCACATCTTCAGGGGGAAAACATCCCACATGGAATGGTTTGGGTGGGAGGAGACCTTAAAGCTCATCCAGTTCCACCCTCTGCACCTTCCACTAGCCCAGGTTGCTCCAAGCCCTGTCCAACCTGGCCTTGGACACTTCCAGGGATGGGGCAGCCACAGCTTCTCCGGGCACCCTGTGCCAGGACCTCCCCACCCTCTCAGGGAAGGATTTATTCCCAATATCCCATCTAAATTTCCCCTCTTTTAGTTTAAAACCATTCCTCCTTGTCCTGTCCCTCCATCCCTTGTCCAAAGTCCCTCTGTAGCTTTCCTGGAGCCCCTTTAGGCTTCTTTCCTGGAGCCTTCTCTCTTCCAGGCTGGACACCCCAGCTGTCACCCTGCCTCCTCCTATCTCCAGATCTATCCATACATCCATCTCCTCATTCCCTAAAATACCATTTCCCTGCCCCTTGCAGTGCAAGGACCAAGCACGGCCAAAAATCAGCCAAAAATTGAGGCAGACTGGGTGCTGGGAGGAGCTGCAGCTCTGCTGGAAAAGCAGCCCATCCTGTAAAACAAACATTCCAGCTTTTCCCACTCCCTCCAGACCGGTTTGTGAACCCATTAATTGCTTTAATTACTCCTCCCAGCGGTGCAGAACCCCAGACTGAGTGGAACCCAAACGAATCGAGCGTTTCCAATCAGTCACTCCCCCAGCAGAGGATCGATATTCCTGGCACAGCATTCCCAGGCTGCATTCCTGAGCCTCCTGACAGGGTTTGTCGACTCTGGGCAGTGATGTCACCCTGTGAGTCACTGCCCTGCTATGAACTGGCAGGTTCTGACCTCGGGGAGGGGAAAGAACCCGGTGGTTGCTGCAAACATTGACCTGGTTTTTAAAAAGCCCCAGATATAGAGCATTTCTGCCCCTAAACCTGTGCACTGAGATCTAAGAAATCAGCATTACTGATGTTTCCTGTCCTGCAGCTTCAGTCCAATCCTTTGGAAAAGTGACAGCTCATCCATAGTCATCAGCTGTGTGATCCCTGCTCCCTGCCCTCGGCAGGACCTTCCGCTCCTTATTCCTTAGCAAACAGCTTTTCTGGATCCCTTCAGGATGGAGAGCAGACACAGTGACCTCTAACTGCTTAAAATTCCCTCCCTGGTCCTTTGATGCTCCCAGGGTAGTTCTAACAATTCTTGGAAGAGACACAGAGCCCCTTTGATGGCACTGCTGGCTTCCAACGGCCATGACGTCTTCCCACAAAAACTGGCAATCACTCATCCCTAAAAAATGGCTTTGGGAGCCCTCCCTCTCCAAACCTCCTGTTTCCTTCACCTCAGCTCACCACACCTTGGGATTCCAGGCGGGAGTTCAGAGATTCACTCTGAACTGCTGGAATTAATGGTTTGTGGCTGGGGTTTAACACTGGTATCTGCCCCCAAACAGGGAATGTGCCCCAGTGAAAGCAGGGGCTGCGGGTCTGGGGGGCTGCTCCCAACCCCAGGCCTTTCAGTCAGCAAACAAGTGAATCCAGACCAGCTGGGTACACAAAGGGCATCAATAACCTTCCAGAGGGGCCGGGCACGGCATGGCTGTGGCACGGAGCAAGGCTGACACAGAGAGAGGCTGACACGAGTGAGGCCAACACGGATGCCACGCTCCAGGGGCACTGCATTTAGGGACACAGCTCGCTTGGGGTCAAGTGCAACAGCAGCACACTTGGAGCAAGCCCATGATGGGCAGCAGGAGAAATTAAAGGAGCAATTCTGAGCCTTTTCCAGGGAATTTCTACCCGGCCTGAGCATGCCCCAGTACAAAAACACTGCTCAGACTGAGGGGAAATACTGGAAATCTTGAAGTCATTAATAAGAACTTCACTAACATGGCTGCTTAAAAATGAGGGATGAACTGTGGTGCCTTTTTTATCCTTCAGGAAGACAAGGAATTCTCGGAAGAGCACAGTGACTTCACCGCAGTTTCCCACAGTGTCTCCTGGACTTGTCCTGGCAGGAGGCTGAGCGAGGGTTGCTTCATAAATTATTGCTTGGGAAGATGAAAATGTGATGCCTGATTGCTCTTGGAATTGCAGGGCTTGCTCTAGTGTTTGCTTTTCCTTAGAAAAATGAAATTTGCTCCGTGACAGAGTTGCCTCCCTGGGGGCTCAGACCCAGCATCAGAGCCATGGGATGGAATTTTAGTCATGTTTTTTGGCAGTTCGATGCCACTGCACTACAAAGAATAAGCTTTATTTCAGTATCTTTCCCTCAAAGATACTTTATTTAAGTATCTTTTCCCTTTTTGTTCCCTTCCAGAAACTCGGAAGCAGGGGAAGAATTCAGCCCCACGTTCAGCAGCGGTGCCAACTGAATCGCTCGCTCCCATCTCCAAACGCTCCAGCAGCTCCAGTTCACTCGGAATCCAGCACACTCAGCCCCTTCCCAGATTTCCTCACAGATGTACAGGATCTGTGCAAGCAGCTGGTGAACATCCCTGAGTGCTGCACTTCCCTAAACTCAGATGGGAACGACTCGAGTCCAATGGCAAAGGGGACACAAAGCTCAGGCTCCAGCCCCGGGGGCACCGCTGGGACCCTCCGGACAAGGAGGACCCAGAGGGGCTGGAGCGTGGGGAGGGAAGGGAACGGAGCTGGGAAGGGGCTGGAGCAGCAGGAGCAGCTGAGGGAGCTGGGAGGGGCTCAGCCTGGAGAAAAGGAGGCTCAGGGGGGACCTTCTGGCTCTGCAACTCCCTGACAGGAGGGGGGAGCCGGGGGGGTCGGGCTCTGCTCCCAGGGAACAAGGGACAGGAGGAGAGGGAACGGCCTCCAGCTGTGCCAGGGGAGGTTTAGATTGGATATTGGGAAAATTCCTTCCTGGAAAGGGTGATCAGGCACTGGAAGGGGCTGCCCAGGCAGGTGGTGGAGTCCCCACCCCTGGAAGTGCTCAGAAAACGTGTGGATGTGGCACCTGGGGACACATTTGGGGGTGACCACATTAACAGCTGACTGTGAGATCTTGGAGGGCTTTTCCAGCCTTAATCCTAAGAAGGGGAGCTGCAGAAAGATCCCTGCACATTAAACAGGCACAACCAGAGAGCCCCAATCCCAGCCCAGCTCCACCAACACTTCCTGGGATCAGCAGGCCCACAGCCACAACCAGCAGCTCCCAAATCCCTGTTCTTGGGCCAGCTGCTGGAATTCCCACAGTGACAGGCACATGTGGCACTGCCACATCCCGAGGGATGCAGTGGAAACCCCCTGGATGCAGTTTCCCCCCCCCAAAGGAGGGGACAGAGCTGGCCCCAGCAGGTACTCACTGTGTGAGAAGCGCTGGGTGATGGGGGTGCCGGGATAGGGATAAGTGCGACTCTCCCACTGGATGTTCCCTTCTTGCACTGCCTTGATGAACCCGTGGTAACACTGATGGGCCACACCTGGGGAGGAAAGCAGGTGTCAGCAAAGTGTGGGACATGGCAGGGACAAACTGTGCCTGCACAGCCCCAGCAGCCCCAGAGAAGCCCTGCACTGAGGGGACAAACACGCCGGGAACTGGAGGAGGAGAGGGAATAATGGAAATGTGGAGATCAGCAACACTCACTGAACCAGGTCACGACATCCCTGGAGCTCCAGCTTGGGAAGCAGAGCCTTGGTGAAAGGCAGGAAGCCCATGGGATGCTCTGCAGAGCTCCCAGCTTGCTCTGCCACCCCACAATCCTGGTGCTCCCTCATCCCACTCCGAGGAGCAGCTTCCCTTCCCTTCAGGAGCCTCAGGGGACAAAGGATAATCAGTTTTTGGACTGTGGATGCACATTATGCCCAGGGAATGCTCATTTCCACACGCCACAAAAAGTCCTCTCTCCAAACTCTGGCAGAGGAGCCACATCCTCACCTGGGAAAAAAAAACATTCCAGGGGTGGGGAAGGACCAGCCCTGGCTGGGCTGGGACAGAAAGGGCTTGAATTGCACTTGGCAATCAGGAGCTCCACGGGAATTCAGGTCTCCAACCTGCTCCAGACTCCCCCTCATCCTTTGGAGCTGCTCATCCCACATGCCAGCAGGTCCCTGGGAGCACCAGGGGGCCTTCAGGGAGATACTCAGACTTCCAGGCTTATTCTCTCCCCCACTTCAAATAAAACTCCTCTCCCATCAGACAGACATGTTTGATAATAAGCCTGACGCTGTTTTATTGAAAAAGATTGGTGAGGAGACATCAGGGACAAAAATCAGCAGGAAAAGATTCCTCCTCAGCTGTGTGAGGAAGTGGATTTAGCTGGGAACAGGCTCCTCATGGAGCTGCCAGGATTTCTGTTGGGGAACAGGGATGAGGGGCTGCTCCCTGTGGAGAGAAAAGGCTCTGGAGAAGGTTTGTGGCAGCAGCAGCTCAGCAGATGCTCGGTGGCACCTGCACTGAGGATGCCACAACCTGCCAAGAGCTTTTCCCCCAAGGATTTGCTTCCTGACAGGCCAGGAACACCCCCAGCAAGAAATTCCACTCCAGGATATAAAGCAGGAAGGGTTTTTTTAATAAAAAAATCCAGCCCAGGGTCCTCAAGGAGCTGATTCCCGAGAGTCACACGGGAACGGGAATGTGAGCCATAGGATTTCCCAGCAGCTGTGTCCTGGCAAACAGGAAAACTGAGGCAGGAGAGAACAAATCCACTGTTCCCCTTGAGTGACCTCGCTGGGCACAGCTCACAGGTGGGAATTCACTCCCTTTTTGGCTGGAACTGCCCCAGAGTGGCCCAGCCCCCCTGGGACTGAGCCCGGAGCCACGCTGGGCCTCGGGATGCTCGTCCCCCCCCACTCCAGGGGTGCTTCCCACAGTTTGGGCTGAATCCCAGGTGTTTGGCCATTCCAGCTGCATCCTTTGCAGCTCCTAAGGCTGCTCCAGGAACCAGCCAAGGAAAGGCCAGCACCTGGAGAAGACCTTTCCACAGGGGTGTGGGCTGTTGGTGCCCCAAAATTACGCAAAAAAGAGTAACTTTGGGCAGTGCTCCTGTTTTTAACCTTCTTCCTGTTAAACTCTGGGCAAAGTGGGAAATGCCTGGAATCTGAGCAATGCTTCCAGGTGTGCAGAGTCCACAAACGAGCCACCACCTCACACAACTGCCAAAGGCATCCTGGCTCCATGTTTTCCAGAAGAAACGAGTTCCCCTCGTGCAGTTCAATCCCAGCAGATTTACCTGTGGTCTCCCCTTAAACTCCTTGTTTTTTAAATGAAGCTGGATGGAAGTGTCAGAATCACAACAGGAATCACCCAGCGCATCCAAACAAAGGGAAGCAGAGGGTTTTGTTTGGATCCTCGTCCAACTTTCCCTCCTTATTTGCTGTATCATCCACATCCAGCATTAAAATATGCCCCCGAGGCTTTGGCAGGAGGCAGAATGCAGGATCTGTGGCTCAGGGCTGCTCTTTCAGGAAGTGTGAATATGCATTAATGTAGGTTTGACATCCCACTGATCCCCTGCAGAGCTGCAGGAAACAGGCACGGGGCTGTTCCAGCTGGGAGCAGCAGCTCTGGGAATGCTCAGGACAGAGCAAGAGGCCAGCGTAGAGCCAAGGTTAGACATGGGACACTGGGAATGGGGCTGGGATGCAAAGCCACCACTGGGAGCATCCCGGTGCAGCAAATGGAGGGGCTCTGTCCTGGGCTTTGGGAGTTTTGGGGTGGAAGGGACCTCAAAGCTCATCCATTCCCATGCCCTGCCATGGGTGGAAGCTCCCACTATCCCAGGTGGCTCCAGGCCCCATCCAACCTGGCCTTGGACAGCTCCAGGGGCGGGGGGCTCACACCCTCCACGGGTTTCACTCCCCAAAAGGGGCTGAGGGTTCAGTTCTGCAGCATCCCACTGCCCTGAGCACAGCCAGGACCCGAGGGCTGGGGGGCTGTGCTGGGATTCTCCAGGAGTCAGATCCCAGAGTTTGAGGGGAAAGCAAGAGCTGAGGCTCAGCCAGAGGCAGGGCCCCAACCCTGTCCCCGCAGTCCCAACCCCCTGCCCTGCCCACCTTTGATCAGCCGGTACCACTGCTTGCACACCAGGGCGGCGGTTTTGTGCTCCTGGTAGGGAGACAGGAAGGACAGGATGTATTCCAGCACCTCCTCCGGCAGCTCCAGCATGGATCTGCTGTGCCTGCTCTCCTCCAGCTCCAGCTCGGCCTGGGGCTCCTCCTCCTGCTCCATCGTCCCCTCGGCCGCGGCGTCCTCGGCGTCCACGGCCATGAACCCATCGTCCTCACTGTCCGAGGAGCTGGCCATGGCATCCCACTCCACTGCTGGAACGGGGAAAACGGGACAAAGGGGGGGGTCACAGGAGAACTGGGAGCACCAGGAATTCACCTGCAAGGGTTCACACCACAGATCTCGGTCAAGCTCTGCCACCGCAAACACCCAGGGCAGGACAGGGGTGCAGAGCCTGGGAGAGGGGGAGATGGGTTGGGAACTCCGGGGTTTCCAAAGCTTTGGAGATGGGTTGGGAACTCTGGGGTTTCCAAAGCTTTGGAGATGGGTTGGGAACTCTGGGGTTTCCAAAGCTCTGGAGATGGGTTGGGAACTCTGGGGTTTCCAAAGCTTTGGAGATGGGTTGGGAACTCTGGGGTTTCCAAAGCTCTGGAGATGGGTTGGGAACTCTGGGGTTTCCAAAGCTCTGGAGATGGGTTGGGAACTCCGGGGTGTGCAAAGCTTTGGAGATGGGTTGGGAACTCCGGGGTTTCCAAAGCTTTGGAGATAGTTTAGGAACTCCTGGGTTTTGCAAAGCTTTGGAGAGTTTTGGAGATTGTTTAGGAACAGCTGGGTTTTGCAGGAGCAGGGTGAAGATGGTTTAGGAACTCCATGGTTTTGCAAAGCTTTGGAGAGGTGGGAGATGGTTTAGGAACAGTGACCTTCCCACCCCTGGGAAAGCAGTTTTGCCACTGAGCCTGTTTTACCCCAAACTTCCTGGAGGATAATTCCCAGTCCCGTTTTCCTTCAACACCCTCCTTTCCCTTGGTTTTTCTTACACACGGTTCCTGCTGGCAGCAGGTGAGGACAGCAAATCCCCAGGATTTATGGAAGGCTGGGGGATCAAAGGTTGTGCCTCCAGCTCTCCAGAACATCTCAAGTAACGGACCGATGACAGAAACACCTCATCCCATAAATCCACCTTAACCAGGGGCACGTGGCACGGGGGGGCTAAATCCATGGCTGGAAAACAAATCCCTCGACCTTATTTCCCAGGAAGCTGCCAACCCGTTTTGGTTCCTTGGCAATAAATAAATAAATATTCTGATATACAAATGTCCTGATAAATTAACCACATCAAACCATACAAATGTGATTTATAAACATGGGTTATTTATCAGGATAAATATAAATACGGGATGCAGACCCACACGCTCCACGGGATAAATCCCACCAGCAGCAAGCCCAGGAACCAAACCCACTCCTCGAGAGGGAAGACAAGACACAGCTTTTTCCCAACATACTTCAAGACAAGAACATTATTATCATTTTTACCAAACTCTCACTATCACAGAAAATTCTGGAAGGAACTTCAGTTATTCAGTGTCATGGTTTATTTATCAGGATAAATATCCTGACACTAAAATATCCTGATAAATAAATCTCATTAAACCCCATAAATGTGGATTATGAACCTGATTTATAAATGTGGTTTATAACCCTGATTTATAAACATGATTTATCAGGATAAATATCCTGATATATAAATATCCTGATAAATAAATCTCGTTAAACCCCATAAATGTGGATTATGAACCTGATTTATAAATGTGGCCCATAAATGAAATTTATCAGGATAAATACCCTGATATCTAAATATCCTGATAAATAAAACCCACAAAACCCCATAAACATGGATTACAAACCTGATTAAAACCATGTTTATTTATCAGGAACCACCTAAGTTCTTGTTACAACCTTCCAGCCACATCCAGGGTTTTCCCATCCCGTCACAGTCGGAGTGGAGGAGTCATGGGAATGGCAGAGGGAGCGGGAAAGCTTCCCATGCCAACTAATTCCAGGAAAATGCCATGGGACAGCACCAGCCACCCCTTCTGCCAGGTTCCCTGAGGAAGCAGCTCTGGAAAACCCACGAGGCTGCCACTCTTTGGGAGCAGCCACGGCAGGATCCCGCTCCGAGCTCCCATCCCAGTGGCTGCTCCACGTGTTCTCCTGTGCCAGGAATCCCCCTGGAATGGATGTTGTGACAGGGAGAGGCTGGAACCAAACGCTCTGACATGGGAGCTGCTGCCAGGAAACCTCCTTACACAGCACATTCCCAGGCACTGAGGAATGGAAAACGGGGAAAAACAAAAGGGAAGTGGAGCTGGGCTAAAAAGAATGGAAAACCAGTGGGTTGGGGCTTTTCCAAGCAAAAGCACCCCCAGGTGTTCTGCTCTCCAGCCTGGGAATGGCCTTGGGATGCAGGGTGGCTGTGGCCAGCAAGGTTGGAGGCAGGTGGTCATTCCCTATGTGGAATTTCCCAGCCTGGGAAAACAGGCCAGCAGAGCCCCCCCAAAGGAGGTGCTTCCCACCCCAAAACCATCCCGGATCCCAAGCAGGAGGGGTTTGCTCCAGCTCAGGGACAATGGGATCCTGGGATGATGATGCCAAGTGGGTTGTTAACTCCATGTTAACAGCTTTTATTTGTCCCTTAAATCCTTATCCCATTCCTGCTGGAGAAGTGCAGGAACTAACACCCACTGGAAAGAGGGCTTTTCCAACTATTAAATCCCAATTCCAACCCTCTGGATCCGGCTCGGGAACAACACAGCACAGCAGGCTGATCACAGAACAACTCGGAAAAGCATCTCCCAGGCTGATTTTAGCTAATTGAGCTGATTTTGGGAGGAGTAGGGAAACCCCTCGATCCCTGGAGCAGCAGATCCGTGGATGGGGAAGCTCCACTGAGCTCTGTCAGCTCTTACCAAGCTCATAAATATTCCAAAGCACCCACTCCACTGAATCCTCATTTCCTAAACGTTTGAGCACAGGGAGTGACCATTCCCAGAGTTTTCACACCCCCACTGGTGTTTTCCTTAAGGGAAACAAGACCAGCAATAAACTCAGCAGCCAAAAGGTAACTTGCTGCCAAAATAACCCTTCGGGCTCGACCTGGCCCGGAGGCACGTTTTGGTTGGAATGGGCTGGGAATAACCAGCCCTGGATTGCCAAGTCCCACAACCCTGCTCCAGTACAGGAAAAGGAATCCCAGTAGGAAAGAGCTGAAGCCTCCCAGCCAGCTCCCGTTCAGCACACCCATGGCAGAAAATCCCCCTCCTGTGCTGAGTTATCCCAAGAGCAGAGCTGTGCTCCTGCGTTTTGGGGGGATGCCAGAGGTGCTCTCTCCCTGCTCAAGGTGCTCCCTGCCAGGCTGCAGGTTGGAAATGAATCTCTGAGCACACAAAAAGCTGCAAGAAAGGGATTGCATCAGTTGTGCCTCATCCAAAAGTACCTGCAACCCAGGTAATTCTGGGATGGATCCCAGAGCCCTGTGCTCGGATTGATCGCTGCCAAGCCCAACACAATCCCCACAGACACCCCGTTCTGCACCCTGGTCCTGGAGGAATGCTGTCAGATTCCAGCAGGAGAACATTTCAGGAATCGGCCTAAAGTCGGACCAAGGAGGAATTGCTTCAAATAACCCATCAGGAAAAGCTGGAAGGGCAATGGAACGGAGCTGTGCCGGCACTGCTGGAATTTGCCTGCCCCCTCCTAAAAGCTGCCTCTCTGCCAGCTGGCAAAACATTTCCATAAACCTTTTCCTGCTTCCAGGGCACTTCAATTTTCCCTCTCCCCCCTCCTGAAATTAGTTAAGAACCTGCTGTTTATTCCACTTAATAATTACCCGGAACAAACAGCCGAGGAATATTAAATGCAGGCAAAATTCACCCCACTGGGCTGAAGCCAAACCTGCTCCTTCAAATCCCCTCCTGATCCCAGAAGGTTTTCCTACCTGCAGGCAGCGTTCCCGGCCCCATGGACCCCGGATCTCAGGTGTGGGTGGCACCAGTGCTTCCCATCCCGAGCTGCCTCCTCTTCTCCCAACTTCCAGCTGCTTTAGGAAGTGTCAGAACCCACAGGGCTTTCGACCTTCCCTTTTTTTTTTTTACCGTCAACAGGATTTTAAGGGAAAAAAAACAAAGGGAAAAAAAGCCTCCAAGGGAAAGTTGTTGAATGAAAATGAGAGGCTGAGCCAGAGCCCTGAGTCAGAGCTCGTTTCCACATGCCACAAAAAGTCCTCTCTCCAAACACCCGCGGAGGAGCCGAGTCCTCACCTGGGAAAAAACATTCCAGGGGTGGGGGAGGACCAGCCCTGGCTGGGCTGGGACAGAAAGGGCTTGAATTGCACTTGGCAATCAGGAGCTCCACGGGAATTCGGGTCTCCAACCTGCTCCAGCCTCTCCCTCGTCCTTTGGAGCTGCTCATCCCACGTGCCAGCAGCTCCCTGGGAGCACCAGGGGGACACGGAGACCTTCCAGGCTTATTCTCTTCCCCAGGTTAAATAAAAACCCTCTTCCATCAGACAGATGTGTCAGATTGTAAGGTTGTGTTCCTTGAGGAAATTCCTATGGCAAGGTAAAGTTCCTGCCTGGGAAGGGTGATTTTCCCTGGAATTTCAGTGCCTCCCCAGCGGTGCCATCCCGGATTCCAATGGCAGCTTTCCCTGCTCCTGCTGGTTCTGTCCTACAGGACCTGAGACCATTTTTAGGGAGAGAAGAGGAAAATCCAGCACTATTTCCTAGGAGAAGCACAGTATTTTATACAGGCAACAGCACAGGGAGTAAAGACCTGTGGGAACTGTGGGATTTGGGATATCACCATTGAATATGATGATATTTCCAGTCCCAAAACCTGCACCAGACAGAGAAGATCCTCTGGAAAATCAAAAGGAAAAAAAAGCAGATTTTAGCCAAAGAAAAAAAACAAAGCCTCTGGGAATGTCTGGGATGAGCAATATCCTGTCTGGGCTGCTGGAGAATCACCCAGAGGAGTGAGACCTCAGGAATACCAGCCCTCGGGAATACCAGCACACGGGGTCTCCTCATCCCTGCAAATCAGGCAATTCCAAGCCCCTGGAAAAAGAGTGTTTCCTTTTTTTTACCCTTTTCAACAAGAAATTGGTCTTTTTTTTCCCTGTCATATAAATCCTTGCTTCACCCAGGAAAATTAAGGATACTGAAATTCCATCCCTGAGGTTGAAAATTCCAGTATTTCTCTCCCAGCACCGACTCCCTGTGTGTTAAAACAGCATTTTTAGAGGCTCCAGAGACAA